ATTTTTGGTTATATTCAGTACTATCTTTTCATATTTGATTCCTTTTTTTATTCGTAGACATCCATTTACACAGACTAGCAGGTTGTACTAGCTTTTACCTCACGCATTTTTGCCTTTAATGACTCCTGCATGTTAAATTCTCCGAGCTTTCATTTCTCTGTTTTTCACGTCATAAATGTGTATGCTAAATTATCCAAGCCATCTTTTCTCTTATTCTCTTGCTTTCAATGTATCCGGCGTCTTTAAATTCTCCAAACCTTCTTTTCTCACCCCACAGACGAAATAAAGGGTTCACATCGTAATTCTCTGAAATTGATCCGAATCACCTGAATAAGTCTGAAACGTTGCGATAATAAACAATTTTGAACTCTACCAAGGCTGGAAAGGGAGGATTGAGCAAAGAGAAAGTTGTGGAGAGCCATGATTGCCCATCTCTTGAAAGGATGTGCTGAATAGAGAGACAGATTTGAAATATAGCATTCGTTTTCGATTCTGTCCTTAAATCAGTCTCTTGCTTTTTGTTGAGTTTTCGGTTTGCTTCACTCGTTCGCCCGCCTCGTCTCCCTCCGTCTTTCGCTCAAGCTGAACTGAACAACTGTTAAAACGTATAATAAAACGAGTGCATTTGTACTTGTAACCTGAGCGCTCCCGGCTCCTCTTGGCTTCTCCCCTGAGCATGAACCATCATAAGGGAGCAAGCGAGATGCCCAAGGCTGCTTGGTTGACTCTTAGATTGGATGGAGTCAGCTTGACGTCACAACCATGTTTTCCATCAATAAAATCAAGGTCCACCTGTAAAGGCGTCTTCTAGTTGTAAAGCTCTGAACTGGTGGAGCTCATCTGAACATTTGCCGTGGAAATAGCGACAGGATCGTGACATTGCGTCTGTGAGGAAAAGGTTATAGAGTGGAGAATAAGTTTTCACCCCAAAAGGGGGCGTAAACTATTGGAATCCTATCAAAGTTGCAAAATGAGGACTGAGCAGCAATACTCCGTTTTTGGTCTAAATAAGTGTGATCATAGTTCGTAGAAGTACCATGACCTTTCCTAGTTGTAAAGGTCTGAACTGGTGCCACTAATGAATGGAGCTCGTCTGAACATCTGTCCTGGATATAGTGATAGGATAACGAGCAAGCGAGATGCCCAAGGCTGCTTGGTTGATTCTTAGATTGGATGGAGTCAGCTTGACGTCACAACCATATGTTTTCCATCAACAAAATCAAGACCCACATTTGTTTTCGATTCTGTCGTTAAACCAGTCTTGTGCTCTTTTGTTGACAACAATACTCCATTTTGATTTAATCTGACTCTTGTCAAGTTAAAGTAAATCTTGATATATTATTTTGATATAAGTATATCTTTTATAACCGCTTGGCAAAATATCCAATAATGTAGGCAATAAAACGGATGGGGTCTGGGTGGCAGCAATTTCCAGACGATAGATAATTACTTGATGGCGCCCATTTTTCCAAATAACGCATCGTAATTAGTATAGGGTTAAAATAATTATCAAAGAAAAATCTCAGACCTGAATCCCACTCAGTGACCTATGTTACCATCAAGATGATAGGCTAAGTCCTTAATATTATCATTAGGATAAACGTACTTAATAATAACCGTCATTTCTACCCTGAAATGTTCTTTCTCGCACTTTCCACCTGTGGAACTCTTTCCCGATTTCTTGGCTCCCTGATAGCTACAATCGTCAAAAATTAAAAGACAACGTCGATAGGCATCTTTTGTCTTCATGAATCTTGTTTTTTCTCCTTTCCTCAATCCTCCCCATTTTCAAATATCTCATTCTCATTCACTTTCACTCCCTGTAACTCCCCATGTGTTCTAATGGTATTGTCACCTTGTGTGTGGTGCGGGGTGAAGCAATTTAAAATAAATAAGACGGGTAGTACCAGGTAACAAGCACCAGAAGAATCTTTCTTTCTATGTGCCATGTCTATCGCCTCGAGTGTTATAGCCATCATAATACGTAGAAATCTGTCGGTGTTTCATCTCTTCGATAATCTAAATATCTAACTAATTATCTAAACAACAAAGATGAGGATATTAGTCCTTATAGTTTATAGAATTTTAGTCTCTTCGTTCTTCATAGATCAGGGAAGGCCGCAGAATCACTTGACCGAAGGATAATTATCGACACAAAAAAGATAAGGATATCTTTTCTTTTTATGTGCCATGTCCTTTCAGGACGTAGATGATTATGGCTCTCCACCTCCTTCTATCCCTTGCAGCTCTCATCAAGTCCCTTCCCTCGGCTTCCTCCCCCCAGACCACATTCTGTCATCCACTTGCTTAAGTCCGCCAACTGTGTCACGCGTTGTTTTTCATTGTCTCTCTTTCCCTCTATTCGACCCGTGAGTGTCAGTTTCTCCAGGCCTTCCTTTCTCATAATGTGTTCCAGAAATTTCATTTGCCTCTTCCTGATGTTAAGCATCAGCTTCCTCCTTGTTTGCAACCTCTCTAAGATCTCATAGTTATCATAATCCGTAGAAACTTGTCTGTGTTTCATCTCTTCGATAATCTAAATATCTAACTAATTATCTAAACAACAAAGATGAGGATATTAGTCCTTATAGTTCATAGAATTTAAGTCTCTTCGATCTTCATAGATCTGGGAAGGCTGTAGAATGACCTGACCGAAGAAACAAAAAAGATAAGGATATTCTTTCTTTTTATGTGCCATGTCCTTATAGGACGTAGGCGATCATAGCTCTCCAACTTGCTCTATACCTTGCAGATCTCAACAAGTTCCTTCCCTCTGCTTCCTCCCCCAGACCATGTTCTATCATCCACTTGCTTAAGACCACCAAGTATGTCACGCGTTGGTTTCCCTTGTCTCTCTTTTCCCTCTATTCGACTCGTGAGTAGCAGATTCTCCAGGCCCTCCTTCTTAATCATAATCCCAGAAACTTCAGCTGCCTCTTCCTGATATTAAATATAAGCCTCCTCCTTGTTTGCAACCTATTTAAGATCTCATTGTTGCTCACACGCTCGGTCCATGATAATCCTTAGCATCCTTCTGTAGAACCATATCTCTATCGCCTCGAGTCTCTTCTTCGTTTTTGAGCAAATCGTCCAACATTCGCTGCCGTAAAGAAGGACAGATGTCACGTAACAACTCAGTATCCTTCTGTCTCGCAATACTCTGCCTAACTTTTGGAATGCGTCCTTGGCCATCCCAATACGCCTACGGGTCTCAGTGACGCACTTACCGTCCTCTGTCAAGATGCTTCCCATATATTTAAACTTCAGAGTCTGCTTGATTCTAGTGTTCCCGACCTTCAGATCGCATTTCGGGCTCACCTTTTTACTGACGACCGTACACTCAGTCCTTTTGACGGATAATGGGTATGCCCCCATCCCTATAAATACAGTAATGAATACTGTATGTGCGGGTTGACCGGCCTGTAGTTGGAGATTCGTCCTCAGCTGGGCTGGTTAAGCACTCTATCTCCGCACAGTGTGCATTTCCAGAAGAGGGTATATCAAAGGGCAGAGTCTCGTCTCGGAAAACATCTACCCGACCCCGTTTTATACGGGGTCTATGGGGAATTTTTGGGCTGAGCCTACGGGCTCGGGAACCCCACATTAAATTCGGCCTTGTGCCACAACTAACTGCTTGGGGCAGTTGGTAGATACCGTCAGGTGTCTGCAGCTTAAGATTCATTGTGAAAATCACTTAACTTTTTCTAGTAAGCGCCGCTGGCAAATCTTATATGAGTTGTTCTTGTTCTAAGTATTATCGTTCATTATCAGCCTTCGTGTGATTATTCTATTCTGTAACATTCCTTAGGTTACAACACTAACCAAAGCGATACGACCCATGTCAGTAGGTTAAGTGCCACACGTGATAGACACTTGGCCGATCATGTCTCTTTCGATTCATGACTGATTAGATTGAAAATATTCTCACGTTAGGTTGCCGTTTCTTTCTACGTTAGACTGGTTGACAACCAAACCAGGACTCTACTATTTAGCCTATAGCTGGCTGACAAGGGATGTATTCATTACTTTCGCAAGCGTATTTGCGCTTGTGAACGTCACGAACCCGACTGAAATTCGAACTCAGATTTTTCATTGTGAGTCTGTATCAATTACACTACAGCACTCCATGTACCATGAAAAAAGAAAATGCCGGCGTCAGTAACTGAGAAGAATTGCTGAACTGACTGAACTTTGATGATCTCGAAGACTGTTGCAGTGGTAGACTGAAGCGTACGCTGTGCCTACTCCATGTAACATGACCTAAAATATTAGTACCAATAAAATGATTTAATGGGCTTTCGCAGGGGAGCGCTGGGTACTTTGTGGTACCTCTTGGGCTGGGTTAATCGGCCGTGTCTATTGTTTCTCTATATAACATGAGTCAATAAATACTGAGACGAGTAGAAGGAAAGAACCTCTTATTTAAATTGCACCTTTAAAGTCTAGAAAATCGATGTGTTTTTATAAATGATCTTCTGTGACCTTTCTCTGCGTACAGATAAGTGTTATCTGATAGTCTGTTTGGCCATTAATACTGACTTATGAGTTCTATATACACTGAGTGTGTTAAATAATAGTTTCAGACTACTATATTTTAGTGGCAGTGATTTTCCGAGGCTGACCTTTAAGGTCGGAGAGGAGACAAAACAGTGGAAGTCGTTTTTGATTGGTTAAAACTAGCTTGAAAATATTAGAGAGATAGAAAGTGATTTCAGGGAGTTAAGTTTTACACGTCATACACAGTAGACATGGTTTTCCCCTGTCTCTGGGATCTTGCACTCCCCTCCAGTGGAGGGGGGGATAGAACAAACACCTTGGCTAGTTAAAAATGTACACATCGATGTGTTTAATAAAATAGATGTTTAAAATCCCCCCCTTTTTTTTTTGAAGATCGCTTTCATCTCCGGACTCCAAAAATATTTCGACACCCGGCCGGGAGAAGACAAGCGAGATAAGATACAACGTTTTGGAATCGACCTCGTCAACTAAGAGACGCCCAGAACGAGAGGGCTATACAACAAGTGTCCTATGGGTAATTTGACATTAAATGAACCGAACAAAGGTTGTCATGTCGTTAAAATCAACCAACCGCTTAGGTGCTTAATACAAGAAGGGCTCTTGATAACGAAATCTATTAAGTAAAACGTTCTATCCCGTGATCGGGGATATTTAAAGAGAAATGTGTTAGTGAGGCATACTTTAGAGAGCAAATGGTTAATTTGAATGACGTATTAGAACAGGTAATGTAATTTAAAGTTTAAGATTATAATTTAAGATATTTTTATATTAAAAATTACATATGTACATATATTAGAATATATGATATTTTTGCTGAATTATGAATTTAAATGTATTTTATTGCATATTTCATGCTATTTTAAATACAGTATATTTTTAATACATTTTTAAAAAAATCACAATTTCAGAAAATTATATATATATATACTAACCGAATTATCCCCGCCTTGATGCGTGTCACACATTTTTTATAAGAAAATCGTGATTGATTTTAAATGATTGTTATATTATGTGAGGGAAAAAGATTTATTTCAATATTACTCAATGATCTTGCCAATAAGACCTCTATCTTCTGGCTTTCTCCTCCTATATTTTGTATAGGAGTTATAACTTTGAAATGTAGTTGATGCAATACTTGATTGAATGAATTGATGAGCAGATTTCAATATTGATATGACAGCTGAATTGTCGCAATAAATATGTATTGTAAGGCACTACCCACTGATTGGTGATTTCTTGCTCAACTTGGCATCCATATTGTCTCATTTTGATCTTGCCAATGTGACCTCCATCTTCTAGATTTCTCCTTCTATATTTTGGATAGGAGTCATTCCTTTCTTCAAATTTAAATTTAATGGAAACGAATTCAGTGGTGGTGGTGAAGGTTGTGTTATCTGTAGACCCCCTTTGATCAAAATAAAATATAGTTATCCAAGTACCCTGGGTAGTGAAGTTTCAGAATTGATGAGGGGTCTACCCCTTTTTACAGAGTGACAGAGTGACAGAGTAAAAGGTTGTAGGTAACCGGAAGAGTGAGGGGTGAGGTAACAGCGTTGTAGAAGTCACAGTGAGCGAGCACGTAGACTCAGTAAGAAGTCATACAGAGATACTTCAATACCAAAAACTGTATAGATATTTTGCTACTAACCCGTATTCCTGGAACTACTAACCTGCTTTACCAGTTTGTATTATTACGTTAATACATTATTTTCATATATTCATTCCTGGCGTTTGTTATTTATTGGTACCGGATTTCATCCCGGAATTCATAACAAGAATAAATATGATTATGTGGGTATATCTCGAAAATCCTGGGAAGAGTTCGATAACAATATATATATATATATATATTGAAATTTTAGCCGTATTATACGTGTCATGAGTGATAATAATTTTTCTAAACTGTGGATAAATTCAGGTTTGTACGTCCGCTTTAAATATTTAAATAAGTTTTTTTTTATGGCACAAAATTTAACAATAGCTAGGAAAAAGCAAAATTTATATTCCATTTTAAAAAGCTAAGAAAGAACAACCGGTTTCGCCCCAGGATTTATCAAGTTTATTTTCTGGGATATAAATATATATATATATAAGCGTGTAAATTAAATTATTATAACGAATGGAATTGGAAAAAAAATGAATTTCAAGAAACTAGAGTCCAATAACATTCAAACCCAGTAAGCATTACCTCTGTTTACAAAGGGAAGGCCCACGGGATCTGATATACAAGGACTCTAGAACTTTGAGGTGAAATGTGGAGTGGGACCTAAATAAAATCAAAAACGGTCACCACTAAAATCAAGCACACATTCCCTGCTATTTATAACATGCTCAGCAATAGCAGAGCCAGAAGTATTGGTTAGTTGGCTTTTCCTGGCATGCAGATTAAAAATCCTGGGGGGTAAGTGTTGTTTTATTCTCAAATCCAAACGCTTGGACGTCCTCCCTATGTAGTCGAGTCCACAACTACACTTATATTGATAAATCACTGAATTAACATGGGGGCGTCCTTACGAATGGAAGAGAAAACAATGGGTAACAAATATTACACGAACATTAGCCGAAAAATAACAGCTATTAATCATACGTGAAATTCGTCTCGATAAAGTCTCATCGTCTGTACCAATATAGGGAAGACGCAAATAAACTGGACATTTATCAACAAAATGCGGCTCAACCCTATGAAATTTATTAATGACATCATGTTTAACGAAGACCAAAACATCCAAAGGATATCCGTTTTTTGAAAGTGTCATCCTAACAAACTCAATTTCACCGCAGAGAAGGCTATCAGAATATAACTTCAGTGCCCTATGAATTAAGGCCTTAATTAAATTAATCTTTCGTTGTCTGGGGGAAAAAAACAGTCCCAACGCGTGTAAAGTGCCGAGAAAGTAGCCTTCCTAAATACAGAAGTTTCAAACTTGTCAATGATCTTACGGACAAGAACATCCAAAAAGGAAAGACAAGAATTGGACTCCTTTTCTACGGTGAACTTAAAAGCAGGATGGACAGAGTTTAATTTGGTGAATAACAAGTCGCAGACTTACACCTTACACCTATGGCATCCTTCTCACGAAAATTGACTCAGGGTTGAATATTGGGGATTCAATCCAGAACATCAGTTGGAGATCCCATGAAACGCTTAACACTATTTATGTAGAAGAAATGAGGATTTAATTTACACATAAACGACTTGAATTTTATGTCGAGCAGTTTGAACAATGGAAAAGAGATTCAGACTTAGGGGGCAATGTTGACTGATACACAGCTGCAAATGCAAGCTGTGAAGCGAAAATTACATCTTTCGTAAACAACAAATTTGGAATTGATTCTCCTGGTAGAAACTTGAGTTAAAATACCAGAAGTGGGTGGATAAGCCACCCACGTTCAGTGAGGAGATTTAGTGGGAGGTAATGATATGAGAGAGTGGAAGAAGGGAATTCCCCAGAATTATCGAATTCTCTTACTTCGCCAGTTTGGCCGAATGTCCATAAATACGAATGAGCGAAGCGAAGTCAGTAGAAGACAGAAGAGAGACACAAGAGACGGAGACGAGATCAGAGATAAGAGTGAGGCCCACGTGATTAACTGCTGACAAAAGCCTTGTGCCAAATTTTACCGACAACAGCTAACCAAATTTTGCGAGATAAACAATAATATCACTTCCGATTTAGAACGGGTTGCACTGTTAATTACATGCGAAATTTGATAAATCAGTTATTGTACAAAGGACAGATATAAAATAGTATTTACTTTTGTTTCATTTTAATTCGAGTGTTATTTTTTTTCCTGTAGGCCATCGTCCTGCTCGGAGCAGCCCAACACGAAGATACCTGCGACGATTCGATATTGGCCTCCCTATGATCAAACTTAAACCACAACGTGGGATAAGGTTAGCTCTGGAGTGAAGCGGTCACTTCAGCGACTAACCACGGTGTTGGAAGTCTTGGACGACCGGGGAGGGTGTTGCACCATTACACCTGTTTCTTTCTTTCTATTTTTCCTTCTTCTTTTCACTGCTTTTATTTTTCTCGTTGACACCAAGCAGTGTCTCCGATACCTCTTTTCCATTTAGGCCATTATTCATGAAGGTATTGGCAGGACGTAATGTACGTGCTAACAAAGAACTAAAAGTAGGACAAGCAGAATCATAATAAGATAGAAATGTACTGTAAATAATTTTATTATAGTAATGTACTGAAAATGCTTTTAGTGCATAAAATCGTTGTTAATGATTTTCTGCAAATATGCATTGTTAACGTTTTTACTTTATATAATCAAGGTATTAATTTTCCACGCTACTAAAAGCAAAAACTTTGAGAAGAAAGTCAAATCAGTACTAGAAAGATCGATAACAGTTAGTGGATTTGACAAGTCGAAGAAGAACTGTTTTGATAAAAGCATTTTTATAAATTTCTACCGACACAGATTTTTTTTCTATGAATGCCGAATGTTTCTTGCAGAGAAACAACGAGTCTCATCATTATAATCTCTCTTTCTCCCCACTCTCTATCTCGCGCGTTCTTTCTCTCTCTCTTTCACTCTCTCGCTCTTTTTGCTCTCTCACCCTCGCTCTTTTTCTCCCCCCCTCTCTCTCTCTTTCTCGCTCTTTTTCTCTCTCTCTTGATCTTTTTCTCTTTTTCACTCTTTTTTGCTCTTTCTTTCTTCCCTCCTCTCTCTCCCCCCTCTCTCTGTTTCTCTCTCTCTCGGTCTTTTTCTCTCACTTTCGCTCTTTTTCTCTCTCTCTCACTCTCATTGTATTTCTGTATCTCACTTTCTTCCTCTTATTTAAATTAGCTCCCTAACTCAGTCAGTTGCTATCTATCTATCTATCTATCTATCTATCTATCTATCTATCTATCTATCCGAGTCTCTTCACATCTATCTATCCATTTCAGCCTGTTCGTTATCTATCTATCTATCTATCTATCTATCTATCCGAGTCTCTTCACATCTATCTATCCATTTCAGCCTGTTCGTTATCTATCTATCTATCTATCTATCTATCTATCTCGATTTTTTCATTATCTATCTATCTATCTATCTATCTATCTATCTATCTATCTATCTATCCGAGTCTCTTCACATCTATCTATCCATTTCAGCCTGTTCGTTATCTATCTATCTATCTATCTATCTATCTCGATTTTTCATTATCATTATCTATCTATCTATCTATCTATCTATCTATCTATCTATCTATCTCAATTTTTTTCATTATCTATCTATCTATCTATCTATCCGAGTCTCTTCACATCTATCTATCCATTTCAGCCTGTCCGTTATCTATCTATCTATCTATCTATCTATCTATCTATCTATCTATCTATCTATCTATCTATCTATCTCGATTTTTTCATTATCTATCTATCTATCTATCTATCTATCTATCTCAATTTTTTTCATTATCTATCTATCTATCTATCTATTATTATTATTAAATTTTTCTTTTAATAAAAAGACTCAAAGCTCCGTGTAGTCCTCCTCGTATTTTCTCCTTCCAATATGAAGAGAGGAAAAAAAAAAAAAAACCTTCAGAAAATGTGTACTCACCCCTACCAGATGACACATGGACACTGTCAAACCTATCGCCAGGGGTTTACTTCCCAGCTCTTTTCGATTCGGGTCAATCGTTGCAAAGATTGTGAAAATAAGTATGAATGTCAGGATGAGTTCGATGCCACAAGCTTGACCTTTGGTGAGATGAGGGTGGACTTGAGTCACTCCAAGATCATGTCGACATTTCTCCGGCACGATACTAGAAAATGAAAAAAAAATTAGAAATTATTTAGGAAAGAAATCAAACGAATGATTAAACAAATCTATCCGGTTAGAATTAAGAGGAAAAGATATTACTGTTGTAAACAAGGTTTAATAAATAGAATTAAAAAAAAATATATAAGGACAGGTCAATATTAGACCCTGTACCAAAGCGAAGGGCAATACTACACTCACTCACGAATTGCTACTACCGCTTATCGATCTTAATGTAAACCCAGGATAAATGGCCTACGAGTGTCAGTTTTTCTACTCTTTTGCCAGAAAGCAAAACAGGTTGATCCACTCCAACCATCAAAGAACAAATCAGGACGGCTGCCTGCTACTATTATCGCTCTGTTTCTGTTCCAACGTACTCCGGGCTACGAACTGGATGATATTGAATGATACCAGTTAGTATTTTCCTCGTTGAATTTTGAGTTTGTTTCTTTGTTTCTTCTGGATCTTTTAATGACGAAATTTAATTTACTTGGAAGCTTTGAAGAAATAAAAATATGATGTTATTCTGCTTTTACAGTAGAATACATGGTAGCTGATACTCAGCTATTGTGCATATACATGTTTGTGTGGACATAATTACTAGAGTCGATGATATGTGTGTTTTATGTTGCAGTTTTGTTGAAGTTATATTTTAGAATACAGTTTGATTTATCTTAAGAAATTGTCGGATATTATATGGATTAATTCATGCTGGTTGTTTGGTTGGCTTCATTTAGCAGCATATCAACCTCTGCTGGTTATTCAATATCGCACTTTGAATATTTTGGAAGCACTTTCATGCATTCAGCTTCAAATAAAATGTATTGTTGGTTATTTTTCTATAAAAATGTATATATTTTTTTAAGCATTACGCCCCAAGCAAGGCGTGAAGCCACTAGGACGCAGATGGTTGCAGAACATTTGGAGTGAGAGCAGATAGGAGTGATAGAAGAAAGGATGAGGAGAGGGATAGTGTATAGATCAAGGTAACTGGAGATGTCGATTGACATTACATTTGAATAGTTGATTATAGCTCTCAGGGAAACAGTAATTGGGAAGGGTGTTCCACAGGCAAGAGGTGCGAGGTGTGAAGCTATTGGAGTAAAAGAGACGGCTACATTTCGTGCCACAGATGAACTTGTGTCATCATTTGTACTCTGGAGGCAGCCATCATCTGTCAATCGATCACGCAAGTTAACCTTTCCAGATAGGATAAAACGTGACACATTGACCCCTAAGGAAGATCTTTTAGGTACTATGACAGATAGAGAATACTGGAGAGGTGTAGTGAGTGCAATCTCGGCTGAGGCCGCAAGATGATGATGATGACATTTAAAAGTTTCTACAGTGTAAGGGTGAGAGCGGGATGCCAGCCTCGTAGGGCGCTTGAATTCATGGAGTCTGGGGACCAGTGAAAGCAGCTCATCGGAGCAATTACCATGAAAGTATTTGTAGAAAAGACAGAGAGAGGCGACGACGCGTCTGTGAGAGAGTGACTGTAGACGAGTCGCCAGATCAGGGCCAATTATATTACATATACGTATCTGGATCTTGTCAAGAACTTCGAGGGAAACAGAAGGTGCCCCAGACCATATATGGCAGCAATACTCTATTGCTAGTAATTTTACTATAAGAATATAGATTTATACTTCCATAGTGTTTTGTTTTTGATTAGTAGTTCGCTATGTACTCATGGCTGGGTGTCTACTAGGCACTACCACCACGGACCTAGGAGCAACAAAAGTTAAATGATGGTTCCCCGCCCCTCAAAATCTCCAAACTCCCAATCAGAGGCCTTGCTGCCGGATGTAGTTTATCGTCATACCCAGGACATTTGAAATGTGATAGGAGAGATCAGCTGATAGATTATTGAGAGAACGCCACCAGTGATTCCAGAGATGTTCAGTTTCGGGAGAAAAGCTCCGTGCTAGACCTTATTAAAGATCTTCGAGCTATCAGGGGGAGATAACTCTGTTTATTATCAAGCATTTCACTTCTCTGTGTGCCGTATCTTTTCAGGACGTTGGCGGTCATGGCCCTCCACAATTTCCGCTACTTTGAAAGGTTTAATAAGTTGTCTTTTTGTTATCACATCTAAACCTTTTTTTATTTTCGAAAAAAATCGCATTACAAACACTAGCAAATATGAAAAGATGGATAGATAGATAGATAGATAGATAGATAGATAGATATGGACAGAACAAGATAGTTAGATAGATAGATAGATAGATAGATAGATAGATAGATAGATAGATAGATAGATAGATTTGAACAGACCGAGATAGATAGATAGATAGATATGAACAGATCAAGACAGATAGAAAGATAGATAGATAGATAGATATGAACAGAGATAGATATGAACAGATCAAGAAAGAAAGAAAGATAGATAGGTATGAACAGATCAAGAAAGACAGACAGATAGATAGATAGATAGATAGATAGATAGATAGATATGGATAGACCGAGATAGATATGAACAGATCAAGATAGATAGATAGATAGATAGATAGATAGATAGATAGATAAAGACAGACAGAACGGCAATCCTTTATGATGTGGACCAAATTGCTGATTAAAATTTATCCGATTCATGGAAATAACGTATTTAAAAAAATTTTTTTTTTTTACTTTTCGTATTTTGCCGAATAATTACCAGTTTATCTAGACTTAGCTGAAATTTATTCATGTCGCGTCGTCCGAAATGTGTGGAGACGCTGATGATTTCAATGGTTTAAAATCTGCCAGATATACAAATATAACGGCTGAATCAAGGTTTATTTACAAGATTATCAACATTTCTAGATGTATTTAAACAGTTTTTCTTCATTTGTTTCTTTCAATCATTTCTCCCCAATCGAGTTAGTAAAGCCAATAAGACGCGAGAGGTTACTGAAATGACAAGAAACCGTGAAGACCTTGTTGAGGAGTGTTGGTTTCAACCCTTCATAGGAGTCACTGCAAATCACCCCACTTTAAAAGTAGAACGAATCATACATTCAAGGATTTCTGCTTAGCCAATGTGATAGGCCACTTTTTGGTCTTATCCGCCATATTTCTGTTTCTTGTCTTGAAATCAGAACACTGCCATCTGTATCTCTTTAGTGTGTTAATACCATTCTTCGTTTGTGAACTTTTTGCCTCATTACTGTTGTTTTGTCTGCTTTTGTCGTGCATATATATATATATATATATATTAAGAAATAGACAAAGTCCGACAATTTATTTATTAAAGACATTTTTATGTTTAACGTTCTTTTTTATAGATACAAGTATTTAAGTAAATGCTCTGTTTTATAATAAACAGTATTAAATAACATTTACCGGCCTGAATGTCCGAGAAATTTTCATAGAAAATATTCGTCCTTTGACAGGATTCGAACCTGCATCCTATACGGAACCGTCATTTACGCTGACGTGCCTTACCGTCTCGGCCACAAAGGAGCGTTCGGTAGGCAAAGGGCGAATATTTTCTATGAAAATTTCTCGGACATTCAGGCCGGTAAATGTTATTTAATACTGTTTATTATAAACAGAGCATTTACTTAAATAGTTGTATCTATAAAAAAGAACGTTAAACAAAAAATGCCTTTTATATATATATATATATATATATATATATATATATATATATATATATATATATATATATATATATATATATATATATATATATATATATATGTGTGTGTGTGTTGTTGTTCTCCTGTGCGGGTTGACAACAACCAATGCCTGTCTATTGAAAACTTTCCGTTGATTCCATTTAAGGAACTTACGACATAGGCCGTTGACTTCAATATACAAAACCCTGCCGCCTAACCTTGCCGTTCCATCACCTCACTGGCCCCATCCTTAGCTATGGAGCCCAGTCTACCCCATTATGATAGATGACTATTGACTCTACAAGAAGTTTCATTCATAGTTCTCGCTGTAGAATGATCTGACAAAATTTAATAAAAAGCTAACGAAACTAAAAAAAAAAAAAACACTTCTAAGATTTCCCTAATATTGTTCAGTAAATGCCGCCAAAAATATTAATCTTTTATATTTCCTAAATTTATTCGGAAGCCAAGAATAGTATCGATTGTCTGGCATCAGTTCTTCTTTGCCGTTTTTGAACATATATCTAAAAATTCCCGATTATTGAAGAGTTTTCGTGTAATTTCGAAAACGATACCACCACACTTGAATAATTTAGTTGATAACATCAGAGGTCGCTAATAAATCCCGCTCGGGGGAGGGGGAAGGATTTATTCAAGGCAATATTTCGCGTCCACTTTTAAGTAACAGTCAATAATCTATTGCAAAAACATATTCGTCTCGGAAAATCGTGCTAAAAATAGACGGAACTCTTTTAAAATTCTGCTTTCATTCGGAAAAAATAACATGGAAACTCATGACTACTTTCACACTTCTATCGTATGAAGTAGAAATGCCTTCAATACAAGCAGTCTCAAAGATTGCTACCACGATAATAAATATAATCTTAACTGAGTGGCCGTAAATGAGAACATACGAAGCTTTAATAGTATTGTTCATACCCAATACAAAGCCCCAAATTCACTCAAAGATATCGTCAGACGTGTGGCAACTACAGCAAGATAGCCTAATCTGCCCTCATAAACCATAACTAGAGGGAATTAATTGCTTTCGTTCCCCTAAGGAAGATTGGGGCCATTTAAAAACCGCATCTGAGGACGTCCTAACAGGAGGAGTTTCAGT